TCCTCAAGACCCGCACCTCAGATAACACACCGCACTCCTACTCATCTGTCATCAAGAACCAAAATTCCCAGCAAAGCCGGAACGCAGATGGACCTCAACAACTCAAAGGACCCGAACCCAACAACCACGAAATAACCAGATCACCACCTATATCATACGCCGACATCTACCCCAGCTCCAGTAACAACTTAACCAATAAGATAACACCCTCCACAACCACTAAATCCTCAAACAAATCCATACAAATCCTACCCCTAAACACACCTAAAAGATTACTTGCTTCCATGAAAAAAGATGCTAAAAACCTAAACCAAACACCAAAAAGAACTCTGACGCATCTAGCGACTCAGGGGAAATGGACACATTTTAATCAAAAACAAATCAAACAACTAACCAAAACATGTTAAATATTATACAATGGAATATCAAAGGCTACAGAAACAACTACCCAGAATTACAAATCCTCATTAAGCATCACCACCCCCAAATCATAGCACTCCAAGAAACCCACCTCACCAATACATCTTCCCTACCAATCCCCATAAACTTCTCCCTATACTGCAGTGACAGCACCAACGCTTTCGGAGGAGCAGCACTATTGGTGCATAACTCCATCTCACACTCCAATAAAACCCTCAGCCCAGACCTTGAAGCCACTTGCGTCACAATTAATTCAACATCAAAAACTTAGAAAATGTTGTAACCCCTACATCCCCCTCTACTATCGTACTAGGGGATTTTAACAGCTGGCATCCATATTGGGGCTCCCCTAGATCCAACTCCAGAGGCAACACAATAGCTAAATTCCTTGACAGATCCGACTACACATTACTAAATGACAAATCTCCAACCCACTATTCGACACACAACACATTTACGCACATCGACCTTTCTCTCGCCACAGCCAATATCGCCCCAGAGATCTATTGGAAGGTCCTCAATGATCTACACGGAAGTGACCACTTCCCTATTCTAATCTCAATGTTCCCTACACATTCATCCTTGAACCTCACATCCAACCCCTCCTTCAATCTTAAAAATGCCAATTGGGACCTCTTTAGTACTCATATTTACGTCTCTGTGGAATGTACCCTTCCAAACACATACATAGCATTCACAACCCCTCCACTCAAACAACTCCTGTAGATCCAACCGAAATAAGCAACACACTAGGAGACCTACGGTCAGAAGAGGCAAAGGACTCCAACTTCCCCGCTGTCTACGATCGAATATTGTAATCGATAGGCGTAGTTAGTATATTAAGAATAACGTAAAAAATACTGATGGATTTTGAGCCCAAGAGAAAACGGGCATATTTTTATCGCTAAGTTAACCGCCAAAATTGAGCGTCTTATTGTCGTGCGAAAATTAGGAGGACTCACTGCGAATAAAACGACGTACAAACTTCACATCTAATTGTCGGCCTCGGGCCAGGAGGCTTCCCTATTGTTTGGCGGGAACCAGAGATGTGGAGCCGTTAAAGGCAAATCCAAGTGAAGCACGACACCTGCCGAATTCCGCACTAAGAAAACTCTCCTTACACCACCCTGTCCCTACCCCTCATCCCCTACAGGCTTGACATTGAAAAAAAACATTACACTTATTGAACTTAAAGCAGCCATAAACTCTCTAAAAGGACACACACCTGGCCTAGACCGCATCTCTTATCCTATGATTAAAAATGCACCCATCTCCTATAAGCTTCGAATCCTCCACCACTTCAACAACATCCTAGACTCCCACATCCCCCAATCCTATAAAATCAGCTTCGTACTACCCATCCTCAAGCCCAATAAACCCCAAACCAACCCCAACTCCTACCGCCCCATCTCACTCAACCCTTGCATGGCCAAAGTTCTCGACAAAATCCTGCTAAAAACTACCCATCCAAAAAATACAACCCAGAAATAATCATAAAAGGCACAAACACATCCCTATCCCACTACAACAAAAACACTACACCCCTATAACCTTCCACCAACTTTTCCACTCTATAAAAAACTCCCTCCCCTCTTCTGTCTTCACAAGCGAAGCTATAGCCATACTAGAAGCGGTACAATTCTGCTAGAAAAATTCAGGGAAGTTCGCTATATGCTCTGATTCCCTATCTTCCTTAAGAGCCATAACCAACTCCAACAACCACTCCTACTACCCCAGCGCAATCAGAAACATAATAACCAAACTCTTCCCCAAAATTATACTTATCTGGATCACAAGCCACATAGGCATAAAAGGGAATGAGAGAGCGAACAGAACAGCCAAGGAAGCTTACAATTGTCCACTCACTCCTACCAAAAACTTCAACTCCAAAGATATCACACAACACCTCAAAAATTACTACAGTCACATAGAAAAAGATCTGCAAAACCAATGCAACCATTGGTACAAACATATTGCACTCAACACCACTTCAAACTACTCCCTCAAAACCACAAACCTTAGCAGACAACAACAAATAATAATCAATAGACTACGTCTAGGCCACACACAAATCACAAACGCCCACTATATTAATAGAACAATACAAAACACTTGCCCTTTATGCAATAATGCCACAATAGATATAAAACACATATTAATCGACTGCACTGCACTTTCCCAACACAGGACCTCATCCTTCTCCCACGAAAACCCAACTCAACTCCTCGCAAACCCAACAACAGAAAACTCAATGAAAATCCTCTCCTTTCTCCACAAAGCCAACCTCACCCACAAAATCTAGCCTTTAAGTCCTTTGTATAATATTTAAATCTGTATATGGGCAATTCTCTGGTGTCGAATGCGACATTCGTACGCATTCAAACTAAAAAAATACATGTGCCAAGACTTTATTTTAATTTTATAAAAATTAAAACGTATAGCTCTTGGTTAGCACTATAATTGGTGCTAAGGTCGATTTTTAACCCTTGTTTGTTTTCAAGATATTCACTAAAAAGTACTGCGTTCGCACGCGACAAAAATAGAAGTAGAAGCAAAAAACCAGTTTAAGCTCTGATTTCAGCGAAACCTGATGAAAAATTGTAGTACAATAAATTTTAATGAACTACGCAATGAATTCTCTTAATAATGTATTTGGATTTAAAAATATTAAGTAGTTATTTTTATACCCTTGCAGGGTATTATAATTTCAGTCAGAAGTTTGCAACGCAGTGAAGGAGGCACCTCCGACTATACAAAGTATATATATTCTTGATCAGGATCAACAGCCGAGTCGATCTAGCCATGTCCGTCTGTCCGTCTGTCCGTCTGTCCGTCCGTCCGTCTGTCCGTCTGTCCGTCTGTCCGTCTGTCCGTTTCTACGCAAACTAGTCTCTCAGTTTTGAAGCTATCTAAATGAAACTTTGTAGTTAGCCTTGTATATACTCTCACTCGTATATATGTCGGAACGGGCCGGATCGGACGACTATATCATATAGCTGCCATAGGAATGACCGGAAAATTTTTACAAAAAAAATTTTAACTTTTTCAGTTTTCAATAGAATTGAATCAAATTTGAGATATAGCCATTTTACTATACTCTTCAATTTTGTACGAAATTTTATAAAAATCGGACTACTATATCATATAGCTCCCATAGGAACGATCGAGAAATTAATACAATTAAATTTATAACTTTTTTAGTTTTCAGCTGATTTTCATCAAATTTGAGGTATAGCCATTTTATATAAGTCTTAAATTTTGTGGCAAATTTCATGAAAATCGGACGACTATATCATATAGGTGCCATACAAACGATCGTTTGATGTGGAGGAAAAATGCAAATCAGTGAATGTAAAACTACAAATATAATATGTATAGGTGAATGAAATGAAAGCAGGTATTACTTCATTGTTTTTTAACAACAACAACAACAACAACAACAAAAATATATAATTTATATTGTATGGATTCCTATTCATAGAAGTTCTATCTGCAAGGGTATATAAACTTCGGCGTGCCGAAGTTAGCTTCCTTTCTTGTTTAAATTCAATTTTAGTCCCGGTCGCACGCGACAGTTTGGAAAGCGATAATTCAAACTAAGACTGTGAGAAAAATGGTGATTGGATTTTCTATATGATATTAGAAAACAAAAGTCAAAGCAAAATGCTTTTGTTAAGAGATTGACATCAAAACAAAACATGCCATTTTGTATGACTTTTTTTTGATAAAAACAACATTTTTTGCGTTTGCGCGTATTTGACATCGATTTTTTTAAAATTTATTTTAGAAAGTGAAAAATTCTCTTAGTCTTGATCATCCTGACCAATTTTGTATGTAATCATGTTAAAAATACTCGTTTATAAGCAATTTTAAGTTTTTGGCCGCGGTTGACCTTTCTGGAGAATTGCCCATATATTTAATCGAGCGGTAGGCCACAGCAGCCAATGCTCAATATCCTATGTTAGCCTTTAGTTTACAACCAACCGCTAGCTTTATATAAATAAATAAATAAACTCTTCTGAACTTCTAAATTTATCTTTGCCGCACATTTTTCATGGCGGGATCTATTACATTAAATATAATTTGTAAAGGAGCTGGAAATGAGAGCGAGAGGCAAATGGTCGTTTTGTGAAAAATCATAAGCAGCAATTTTTATAATGAAATCTCTAATTAGTAAAGAAGAGCCATACTAGAATTAGAGATTAATATTATAAAAAAGTAAACAAACAACAAATGTTGAACGTGTCTAAGATTTCAAAAGTGCCGTCACAACAGAGTATGACCGCAACAAACTCCAAAAATATCGAAGAACAAGTGAAAAAAACGGTTAAACTTCAAAAGAAATAACATTTTTCCGTATCTGCTATTGTTAACATCTGAACATCTTATTCGCACATTATTATTTATGGCGGGATCTATAATTTCAAATATGTGAAGGAGCTGCAAATAAGAGCTAAAGGTTGAGAACAGACTGTTTTTATTCTTTCTCGCGCTCCGCTCTGGAAGTACCAAAAGTGAAGCGTCAGGAATCTCCTAACGCCGTCCAACTTTCTAGTATTATTAGCTCTCGGTCTCACAGCTTTAAAACGTGTTTTACTCTCACCGTTCCTTACTTTAAAAAAAGCCTTCCGCTGCAAAACAGTTTTATCAACTTCGACCGTACTTTATTCATATGGTCTATTTTTTTTTCTATACTTGACTATTTTTAAGGTCATAGGAGTAGGAACCACTTAAAGTAGCAGAAGCTAAGTATTTTGGCTATTTTAAAATGTAATGTTGCTAATTGTAAAAAATCAATGATAAAGCCTAGTACTAACATAAGATACAAACTTAGTTTGCAGCAAATAAAATAAAACAAATAACAAATTAAAATAAAATTCCAACATCCAATCCGTCCTTCTCGTCAACTTTTATATGACTCTTCCGAATCGCAAAACAGGTAACTTTGTCTTGCAGAAATGAAAAGTAAAAGCCTTTCTTACATCAAATCGGATCTTTCCAAAAGGAAACAAATATTTTACTCATTGTGATATTTATGTTCATTTCGCATCATTAATCTGGCACTTAATTATTTTATGAATATTTTTTTCTGCCCTCACCTCAGATTTGACAAACAATAAATTTGCACTCGGGAACAAACAAATTGGGTTTGGTTGCTAAGATTTTCAGATAGTTGGGTTTAAGAGACACTAGAAAACATTCAGCTTAAATATATATATATATATATATATATATATATGTATATAATTTATAATTTTATTAAGTAAATACGTTAAGAGCATAATAATAAATTTTAACCAATCAAACCACCCTTTTTACACAAAAAAAAAATAAATTAAATAAGAAATTGCTGTCTCGCATTTCCGGCTTTTTTTTAAACAAACTATAGGTAGGTACGTGGTGAGACCAATCTTGACCCTCCAAATAGAGCTGGGGTCCGTTTTGATTCAAAACCTCTGTTCCTGGTTATACATATGTAGCTTTGCACCATCCCGAATCATTTAGAAAAGTAAGGATGGCTGCAATCTTGCGCTTCCCCAGTTCTGCCAGCGATCCTATCGCTGATATCGTTCTTGTTCTGGGATTTTAATTCTTGTGAGCGTTTTTTTGTCGAAGTTTGGCCAACATAGTTTCGCTCTTCTATATTGGGTTATCCTTCACCGTTTCCTGTTGGCGGAAATTAAAATGAATTCGGTCGGATTTGATGTTGGAAAATTATGGATGTACATATGTATGTAGTAGACAACAATGGAGGTGGAGAGGCAAATAACCGGAGATTCCAACACCATCGCCGCCCAATAAAAGTTAATTTTTGTAATTAAAATGTTTCTTGTGAGTTTAATCTCATATAATTGGCCTTGTCATTACCGCATAAATTAAATTACAAGATTAATTGTCTAGAAAAGTTTTTTATTGGAGCAATGTTTGTATTTTTTGAGGCAAATGCCTCTATCATGGCTTTTGAATCGTGTACATACGTACACGATGTACATATGTACATATGTATGTATATATAACTCGTTTATTTCGCTTAGAAAAATTTGTGTTGCTCGCAACATTTAGTTTGTTCGCAACATTTAACTTCTTTAAGTCCCTGAGAAAGCAAAAAATAAAAGGTTATTTCCCTTTTTTATATGAAGTTTAGCCGTAAACCAAATTTATATATTTTGTTAGTACTAGGCTTTAAAAGTGAGCTGCCACTGTAATTGGTCGCAAACATACATATATACATATTTATATACATACATACGTATATGTATTATGTATATGTAAGTAATAAAGGGTTTCTTAAACACAGTAAATAATCATACCAAGTTGCGTGCAACATGTTGCACAACATTGTATTGAAAATAATTTTTTCAGCTAGTGGTGGTGGTTGCATGTCTGTATATAAAAAAATTAGGCGTGCGTTTGGTGACCACGAAAGACTTCAATGCCGAACAAGTTCTTTAGTTATTTACAAATTGTTGTTGAAGGTGGTATACAACGTTGTCGCGATTTACTTTAGTTTCGAGGTTGATACGGTTGTGGAACATACGTATGAATAATGTACAAACTCGTTTTTATTTCTTATGTATGTATGTACATGCATTTATTGTCATAATCATCCGGAATGGAAAAAATTATTTAACAGTGCTGTGAGCGTTTCAATAAGACGTTTAAACGATCTTAAGCAAATCTTTATATCATTTTTAAAGCATTTTTAGATATTTAGATATACATATATTTTATACATACAAAACTACTTCTACACATGAATTTGTTATTCAGATCATATCAATATAAAGGAGCCTGTTTTGTGCAACCCTAAAACCATAAGATTCGAAATAAACAGATACATGACCATATGTATGTATGCATATACGAATGCAATCCTTTCGCTTACATCTGCAGATATGTACATATATCGACATACAAACATACATATTTATGTGTATGTATTTATGTGTCACGAATTAAAGTTATTTTCGTCTAAGGTTTTAACGGTTTACTAAAAGATACCGAATGGGTGGGTTTAATCATTATAATTTTTTACAAGCCCAATAATAAGACAAAGATAAATAGACATAACATATAATAAATATTGACATATACAGCTGTTCTTTTGCTGTATACAAACTTATACATTTGTATATTATGTATTTGTGTAAATATTTGCATATGTATAGAGATTTTATATTGTGTATTACGTTTTTCAATGCAGAAAAAATGCATGAACATTGTATGCTTTTGCATGATTTGTATGTTTGTACCTTGATATTTCTGTTAATATATATGTATGTATATATGTACATATACATACATATATGTACATATACAAAGTGTAAGTGCGCGTGTGCCTGTGTACAGCCAGGATTTTTGTTCGTACTGTCTCATGTAGTAAATATGTATTTAGTGGCGGGAAAACCATAATGTTCATTTATTATATACATACATATATATATATATATATATATATATATATGTTTGTACATATATATTATGTATAACTCATTTTTAAATTAGTAATATAAAAGTGCATTTATGTATATGTATATGGACTTCAGCCGACTTTGGGTAGGACCCACCGTTTATGTAAAGTTCTCATTCGCTTTTATTCATGCGTGAGCGGGGTAATTCATGATGCCGACGACGCTGCTCGACTCATGATCAAATTCACCCTTACCGCTCGTGGGGTAGTTCATGATGCCGCCGTCGCTTTTCGGCTCATGATCAAATTCATCATGAGCGGTATGGATAAAATTAAGGAAAATTAAGGAAAAATTAAAAAAAAAAAAATTCTATGAAGTTTTGCTTTTTTTACTTGCTGTTTTGATTGTAGTAAATCTTTGAACCATACTCACAAATTTTTTTTTTTAGTATTATATACACATGTGCATATCGCGTGTGAGAGGGACAAAAACTAGAAACCCCTTTAGGACATTTATTTTTTTGCTCGCTTGATATTTGTCTTTGTCTTCCCGAAGCGATCGTGGCGCTTGGCTCAGGGGCTAGATCATCTGCCTTCCAAACAGGTTAGCGCGAGTTCAACTCCCGTGCACGGCAAACATTTTCATAATTTATTTTTTAATTTGTTAATTCAATGAATTCTTTAAATTAAAAATTATTGTTCTACTTAAAGATCGCCCAACAAAATTAAAATGAATCAATAACTGTGGTTAAATAAGATAATATAATTGAAAATATTTATTTTTTAATTTGTTAATTCAATGAATTCTTTAAATTAAAAATTATTGTTCTACTTAAAGATCGAACAACAAAATTAAAATGAATCAATAACTGTGGTTAAATAAGATAATATAATTGATGAGTTTTTGGTTTTTTCTTATGGGCGCACTTCGCGTTAAAAAAAATATCCCGAAAGGGAAATCTTCCTGAGCAATCAGCACAGAATCCTACATTCAACGGAGCAGCGTTCGATTCATGTACATGAATGCCGCGCTTGCCGCTTTGCTGGACTGGGGACCATGCATAAGGCCATCCCTGCTCGACATAGTTTTCTATCCAGAATCGTTCACCGCATGAAACAAAGCCCGACTGGGATTTTTTTCTCGGTACCAACCTTTTAATCTGTGGCAAAAAATATACATACATAAGAACATACAGTCAGCTTAACATTTATTCGGACGCTCTGTATTACAAAGTTCAGCTGACTATTTGTCTGAACTTACATCATTTTAACAACTTTTTTTGTACATACTAAGCACATGTGTATGTATGTATTTATGTAATTTTTACTTGTAAATTCAACAAGTTTTTAAAGATCATTACAGCATTGCGATTTTGGATAGCGGCTTGCTCCGTTTTGTTATTTGCGACTTTTAATGCATGTTGCCTAGTTTTTGTTTCTCAGTAAAATAGTAAAAAATTAACAAGCAAAATGTTGTACCATTTTACTAAGAAACAAAAACAAGATTATTTATTTGATTAGAGTGTGTCAAGAAGCTGTTTACACACTGAAAGTTAAAAAATATTTATTGACTTTGTATCTCTAAAACGGGAAAGAGCCCATGCCAGTGTTTGTTTACGTTCTTACATACATACATAAATACATGTATATACTGTCAAGTCCTTTCCCTGCAGTACCACATGTCATCAATAGGCCACTGTCATCAACGTGCGTACTTCTACCGAGGCGACGCTCTGCCGACTGCGACTTCTACCGAGTCGACGGTCTGCCCTCGATACAGTTACGACGGTAGTCCAGACGGCAGTACCATGGCTCGGCCGTTGATGAGTGTTGATGAATTTATTGATGAATCATCGATGAATAGTTGATGAATGTTGATTAATTTGTTGTTTATTGTTATTTGTTAATGAATTGTTGTTTATGATAGCCTAGAACATACCCATTTTAAATTTATCAACAATTTATATGGCCATTAAACGATGAATCACCAACAACACCGTCTTGACTTTTGATGAATCGTTGCTTAAATACTGATGAATGGTACTGCAGGGTTATTATATATTGAATTTCAAAGTCTGAATATATCCAACAGTACCATTCCTTTTGGATTCTGGTCTAAATCAGGTTGGCCTCCATCCGGAATCATAAAGGAATTATCATACAAGCCATCCAGGAATTTCCATACAGTAGGCGTTAGAACACCTGAATTCGGATTACCCGAGGAATTATCCGGGAATCAGTAAGGAATCCTGCTAGGAATTTGTCGTGAATTTCGACACGAATTCCCCCTGAATCAGAAGGGAATTTCCAACCAGATTCTGAACGGAATCAGCCAGGAATTTGAGACGGAATCAGGCAGTAATCGTAGAAGAATTTAGAGTAGAATCAGATAGGACTTTCAAATGAATACCAGGTGGAATCAGCAAAGAATCGGAGGGGAATTTAGAGTAGAATCAGTTAGGAATCCCAGAGGAAAACGTGTAGAAGATCCCCGGAACCCCCCGCCCCATAGTAAATATCTGGCGCAATTTATAATTTATTTATTTATTTATTTATAAAACCTTATAATTTGTTCAATGATAACCACCATTTTTCTTAGCACAACTTCTTGCATTTCCTCTAAATGTCTTTCCTTCCGGCTGTTGCACCGTCAACCTATACTTAATATACATATGTATAAACATATGCATCTTAGAATCAAAAGAGACAATATTTTTCATAAATATACACACCAATTAAGCAGAAAAAAATTTGGAAAATATAATGGTCTTCCCGTTCACACCGTCTAGATTAAAAGAGTCCAGGCTCAAAATCAATTCTGCAAATGAATTTATTAACTGAATACAAATAAGTCACTTACCTAACAATATTTAATAACACTTGTGAATACTTTAGCTGTCATTAGAGCTGCGAAAAAATCGATTTTAACAACGAGACCATTGTTTCTTTTTTTCGGTAAATATTTTTCTTCATCTCACTTTTCGGAACCGCTGCTCCGAATCCTTTCGAAAACAACAACGAATATGAAGTTAGAACATCGGCATCAGCCAAACATAGGTGGAATTGTCATTGCCTACTTTGTTTCGGAGTTCTCAAATTCTCTTGACTGTATTAACCGGATGTTATTATCATATGGACCTGGAGAATGTTAAGCGGTTTTGAAGTCTCATCAAGGTGATTTTTGCGAAGGCAAGTAGGTTACCTGTCGTCCTTTTGAGGCATCTGGTAGTGATGCCAGTACTGGGGCAGCTAGGTGTCTTAACCTTACCTTCATTAGGGCAGGGCACTTAAAGATGAGATTCTCCAAGGTTTCGGTTGCCTCAAATAAATTACATTTCCTGCAGTTTCCATTGTTGGTGATGCCCCGCTTGACCGCTTGCGCAGCAGCCAGCTGTTAGAATTCCCACCAACAGTCTGCAATCTTTGCGGCGTAGATGCAGTATGAAGTTGCTGAGTTTATCATTGCGCTCTTTGCACATTATTTTTGATATATTCAAGATTGAGGAGTTTTTTCTCAACCTGCTTTTTGCTTGTGCGTCTGCCCGCCTCTCCAACTTCCTTTGAAGCGTTCTTAGGGAGACGGGGACGTTTTCTACTCTATCGTTCGCCAGTTCGACTCCTTCCTTTGCGAAATAAATAGTGATTTTTATTATTTTTAAATTTTGATGTTAATTGTGACTATATCATTAACAGTGGCGTGCAAGTCAGTATATTTTTTCAACTTTAGAATTTGGGACTTTAGACATTTATTAGTAAAGCAAATAAACCCAAATTTGTTGTGTTTATTCATTGATTATGTATTAATAAATTCTTATATGAAACTTATCAAAAGAGCCTTATCTTAAGAGCCTTAACTGTTAGTACAAGTTTTTTCGAATTTCCAAACAATCAAGTCGATCCAATTGCAAATTGTAGGTGTGGCTTACCGGAAGAAGTTTTTTCAGTTTTATTTCAAATTTTATTTAGAATTAAATTTAACCATATAATTCTTCATAATGAAACCTTAATTATTTATTTTTCAGTCCATCAGCGAGCGCATAAATGACAGACGAATAAATAACCAGAGATCTTAAATAAAGAAGTTCACAATACGATTTATCAAAAACAGCATATTTAGATATTTTTAATCATACAGAATGACTTTAATTACAAGGAAGCATTTTATATATATATGTATTTTACTTTTAACACCATCTTATGATGCAACTGGATTACAAGGTGTACCGTCATGGATGTAAGTAATTTTATTATTTAATTTCTGTAGCAAAAGAAATCCTAGCCGAAAAAGTTAACCAACTGAGTTATAATATTAAATATAACAAGAAAGGAAGCTAACTTCGGCACGCCGAAGTTTATATACCCTTGCAGATATAACTTCTATGACTTGGAATCTCAACAATATAAATTATATTTATTTGTGTTAAAAAACAATGAAGTAATACCTGCTTTCATTTCATTCACCTATACATATTATAGTTGCAGTTTTACATTCGCAGATTTGCATTTTTCCTCTACATCTAACGATCGTTTGTATGGCACCAATATGATATAGTCGTCCGATTTTCATAAAATTTGACACAAAATTTAAGACCAATATAAAATGGCTATACCTCAAATTTGATCGATCGTTCCTATGGGAGCTCCGATTTTCATAAAATTTTATGCAAAATTGTAGAGTATAGAAAAATGGCTATATCTCAAATTTGATCCAATTCTATTGAAAACTGAAAAAGTTAAAAATTTTTTTGTAACATTTTCCGATCATTCCTATGGCAGCTATATGATATAGTCGTCCGATCCGGCCCGTTCCGACATATATACGAGTGAGAGTATATAGAAGGCTAACTACAAAGTTTCGTTCAGATAGCTTCAAAACTGAGAGACTAGTTTGCGTAGAAACGGACAGACGGACAGACGGACAGAAGGACAGACGGACAGACGGACAGACGGACAGACGGACATGGCTAGATCGACTCGGCTGTTGATCCTGATCAAGAATACATATACTTTATATAGTCGGAGGTGCCTCCTTCACTGCGTTGCAAACTTCTGACTGAAATTATAATACCCTGCAAGGGTATAAATATGGGCATTTCCAGAATAAGGTCTACCAGGACGCTAACAATAAAAGTCTATAAACGTATGTTATTTTAATGTAAATTGTTAAAGGAATGTTTAAATTTAAAGAATATAATCAATTTCCGACATATATATATTTTTATTTTGAACTATTTGAACCGAAACTCACAGGTACGATTTTTTATTTGTTCGCGGGTTTGAATGGTAGCTTTATTTTGATTTAATTCTTGTATACACATATTTTTACCAACAATAAATGACCAAGAAAATAAAGAGATAAGCAATGCATTTTTAGTTTCTGTTACCTACTGTTTTTGTGTATCGTTCGCGATCCCATTATAGTTTTAGCCATTGCTTCATAAGCAGTCGGTATTAAAGTTTGGAAATTTATTTATAAATACAGACTATTGTTGGTAATTAAAAGATAAAAAAAACATTTTGCGTTTGTGGCCAGAGTCAGTTTTTTAGTGATTTTAATAGTGTACCGTTCGCCATCGTAAGTAGGACTTACAACATACATAAAAAAAAGCATTTCCGTAGAGCAAATATTCTTCAGTTTTTACCAAAAATTTATTTTCTCTAAAAAACATGTGTCCCTTATTACTTTTATTTCTACTATTTTTTTATGTAATGAAGTTATGTTTTATATCTAATGTTTATGTTATGTTTTTATATAATTATAATTTCATTAACAAATTTGAGCAAAAACCCAATGAAAATATTGTAGCGTTCGCGATGTACCGTTTTATATCGGAAATAACCTTGTAAAATAAATAAAGTAATAGTTATAATTAAGTATTACGTATATAAATGAAACTGTACATTATTTTACTGTTGTTTAAAAGTTGTATATATTAAATTACTCGCCACATTTCGCAGACAAAAACAATTTTCAATTTGAAGTCAAAAAAGACTTATTTTTTGTAGCGTTCGCGATGCAGTGTTTTTTTTTTTTAACAATAATTACAAAACGATAACTTGGCAAAGTTTTTTTTAGTATACAAAAAATACTGGTAAAATGTATTAATCGTGCAAAAAAAAACTTTAGAAAATGATAATTTCAGTTTTTTTTTCTTTTTACGTCGTACGAATGAACTGTCCGCCATCCTGGAAATGTCCATAAATAAAATTTGTAGGTTGAAACAATGTATACTGTAAATACAAGAATATTTATTGCAAATAATTTTAATAAATTTACTTTAAATCATGCGTTCGATTTAAGAATTTGAACTCCAACGAATTTAAAAGCAGTAATCATAAACTTGATCAGCAACAATTTCTATACTTATTTGTGCTATTTGGAATTATTCTTTAATTAATCTATATAAAGAGGTTTAAAAATTAAGTTAAATTTGAATACAATGAAATACAATTTAACTTGCTTAACTGGATCGATTTTTTCAGTACTGATCCCTTACTTTATTCCGTTAAAAAATTAATATTTAAATTTGCCGTAGATGTATTCTATAAAAAATCTATTTACTTGAAACAATAAAATTTATTTAATATTGAACAAGAAAGGAAGCTAACTTCGGCACGCCGAAGTTTATATACCCTCGCAGATAGAACTTCGATGACTAGGAATCAATATCATACAATATAAATTATATATATTTATGTTAAAAATCAATGAAGTAATACCTGCTTTCATTTCATTCGCATAAACATATTATATTTGCAGTTTTACATTCACAGATTTGCATTTTTCCTCTATACCTAACGATCGTTCCTATGGGAGCTATATGTATATAGTATATGGGCAATTCTCTGGAAAATTCTCTCGAATGCGACATTCGTACGCATTCAAACTAAAAAAATGCATGTGCCATGACTTTTTTTTAATTTTATAAAAATTGAAACGTATAGCTCTTGGTTAGCACCCTTGAACCCTTGTTTGTTTTCAAGATATTCACTAAAAAGTACTGCGTTCGCACGCGACAAAAATATAAGTTATATTTGCAAAAAACCAGTGTAAGCTCTGATTTCAGCGAAACCTGATGAAAAATTGTAGTACAATAAATTTTAATGAATTACGCAATGAATTCTCTTAATAATGTATTTGGATTTAAAAATATTAAGTAGTTATTTTTAAATTCAATTTTAGTCCCGGTCGCACGCGACAGTTTGGAAAGCGATAATTCAAACTAAAACTGTGATAATAATGGTGATGGCATAAGTCCTTTTCCACTTTATATTGACTCTTTGGGTTTTCTATGTGATATTAGAAAACAAAAGTCAAAGCAAAATGCTTTTGTTTAAGAGATTGACATCAAAACAAAACATGCCATTTTGTATGACTTTTTTTGATAAAAACAACATTATTTGCGTTTGCGCGTGTTTCATATCGATTTTTTTTAAATTTATTTTAGAAAGTGAAAAATTTTCTTTGTCTTGATCATCCTGACCAATTTTTTATGTAATCATGTTAAAAATACTCCTTTTTAAGCAATTTTAAGTTTTTGGCCGCGATTGACCTTTCTGGAGAATTGCCCATATGGTAAAAAATGGCTATATCTCAAAATTGATCAAATTCCGTCGAAAACTGAAAATGTTATAATTTTTTTTGGTAAAAATTTTCCGATCATTCCTATGGCAGCTATATGATATAGTCGTCCGATTCGGCCCGTTCCGACATATATACGAGTGAGAGTATATGGAAGACTAACTTCAAAGTTTCATTCAGATGGCGTCAAAACTGAGAGACTAGTTTGCGTAGAAACGGACAGACGAACATAGCTAGATCGACTCGGCTGTTTATGCTGATCAAGAATATATACTTTATAGGTGCTTTTATAGGAGGGGCCTCCTTCACTGCGTTGCAAACTTCTGAATGAAATTATAATACCTTGCAAGGGTATAAAAATAGGGCCTTAGTTATAAATCTAATGTATTTAAACGTAACGAATTTAACTAAATACCGTAGATGCTGCCGACATAAGGCGCACAGATGCAAAGGACTGATAATGATGCAGCAAAATTGAAATAATAAGGCGAAATATTATGATCAAGTTATGTACTGTGTAATATATATAGAATTTTATATTATCTTAGAGCACATAATAGTTATTGTCATATTTTTCATCATATAAAGTGTCATGTCCGTCCGCCTGTTGCTATCTGGATGCTGCTTTCCATAATTTATATATGTATATATTGGTATCAAAGATACCGTTCAGAGTAGCTTTACAATGGAACCTGGAGCAGGTGAGGAGAAAGAGCTTATCACTATAGCTCAAGTGCGTCCAAGTGTGTAATGTGTGGCAGCATATCAATCCTAACTCTTATGAACAAGAGTTTGAAAACTTTGATCCCCTGAAGCTAGATTTCTTTCATGTTAATCAACTTTTGAATTACAAATTATAGTACATAGTTACGATCCTTAGCATACATTTAAATTATAATCCTTTTCAAAGCTCACAAATAACCATAAAATATTTTAAAGTGTCCTAAAAAATGGATCATAGGCAAACACACTTACATAAAATAAATTGTATTGAAACTAATTGCACAGTTCTCTTTAAAAAACAGTTTTGTCGTTAGCGCATTTTTATTCGAATATTTCGAAAGAATTTATTTCGAAAAAATATAATTTTTGTGGCTGAATTAGAGTTCAGAGCCTCGATAACTATCTTCTGAGATTTCTTTTTAATTTTGTGGATCTGTGTAATCAATGGCAATTTTAAGAGTACTCTTTATATGGATTAGAAATAAAAATATAAAACTACAATTAAAATTTTAAGCAATCCTTATGTCTGGCTGTCTTAGTATATTTATTTGTTCATAGTAATTCCTAAACTAATCTTTTCACACTTTTTAAATTTATTTGTTAGATGTCTTGGCTTAAAATCACCTTTTATTAAATTTGGAATCAAGGAAGAACAACTAGCTAATACAAGTATTCCACTAAATATCACAAAAGATGAGCAAGCGTATATGCATCAAGAGGGTCTTCGTAAGCTCGGTACTTTTATTAAGCCCATCGACCTTAGAGACTCTGCGACTGGGTTTGTCAAAGCCGACCTCACAAAAAGACTGACACTTGATCCGCCAAACACAACATCTCGCCGTATTCATCCAATACAGGAGGAAATGGACCAAAAGCAAATTATACTTCTTGATGAAGATACAGACGAAAATGGATTACCGTCCAGCTTAACAGATGAAGACCGCAAGTTCATAGTACCAATGGCTTTAAAGAATATATCACCTGATCCTCGCTTGATTGGTACAAATCCCGCTTCCTCTGTCCTTAAAAATGACAAGATAACAATAACATCTACCAGCACTACAGAACAATTGGCCGTTAGTCCCACCTCTAACATCGATGACTTGAAGAAACACATACTGTTTCTACATAACATGACAAAAACCAATACAAACTTCGAATCGAAGTTTGTTAAATTCCCCAGTCTCCAGAAAGATAAGGCTAAGCCGTTGGATGGAAATTTTCCCAAACCTGTAAAGCGTCCGCAAAGACCAATTTTTCAGTATTCGGCACCCATTGCTCCACCAACTCATAAAGTTCTGAAAGAATCCCCTAGTGATCACCAGATTAGTAAGTTCAATAACAACTAGGATAATATAAATTCATATATTCATTCTTAACTCTATAGATAACTCCAGTGAGGTTAACATTATTGATGCTGTCAAGAAATTATCAACAGAGACTCAAGAGCCTTTGTCAATTGAAACACAGTCAACAACAGCACCTGAAGTTGCTAAAAGCATACCAGTGATAAATTCAAAACATGTATTACGCACAACAAAACGTCCTCCTTGTCTGCGTAATCCGGACTCGCCAAAATGTATACGACAGCGTCGTAGGGAGGAACAACAGCGGCAGCGAGAACGTGATGACTGGTTCCGAGGTCAATCTGAATTTATACGGCCCAACTTTCAGCCTATTATACAAACAATTAATAATACCAAGCGGTTCGCAGTATCTATTGAAATACCAGATTCATTTAAAGTTCACTCTACATTATCTGTAGCTTCTAAGAGATCAGAGGAAGAATTACTATCACGCTTAGAACGTTCTCAACCCAGAAGTAAAAACCGCATGGTTGACATAGAAGTAGATTCTGAATACAAACCGATACAATTTTCTCGAGCTGAGGGTTATTATGAGCCCGATATCGTAATGACATCCGCAAATGTGGCTAGCGAGCTTGACTTTCTAAGTGAATCTATTCAAAAATACAATGTGTCTTCTCTAAATGAGAGTCTTAATGACACATCTTCAGATTCCTCTTACACTGAACAAATTTATATAAATCCAAAAAACTGCTTTAGCATTAATGGCTTAAGTTACAGCCAAAAAAAGTTATGTGTAAAGCACACCAATGTTATGCCAGCAATAAGTCGTGGAGCCCGAGCAGCAATTCAAGTAAGTAAATTTGTTATAACATGATTATTCACGGTTAAAAGTAACTATAACATTAATAAGTTTAGTTTTACGAGCAATCGCTTAGGATAAAATCCTAAAATCAACAAAAGTTGCACACAGTATTTTCCGCATGCAAAATTGTTGCAGAAGTTAGTTAAGTTAACATGGAATATTCCAGACTTATGTGTCGTTTCTCGATTTAAAAAATTTGTGCCTAAAAATCCAAAGCGTATTCACTTTTATTTTTGATTTTATTTAAATGACGAGATCCTTAAATATCCCTAACAAAATGGGAACTATGTCATACTTCCGCAATATTAATAAGATTTAAACTAAAATACATTTTTTAATGAATCATCTTATACATTTAGGACAGAGTGATTTCGATTTGGCGGCTACTGTTTTTGGTTGTCGAATCAGTATAGATGCCATAACCTTGTTATTCCTACTTTCTGATCTTTTACCCTGCAGTAAATAAATGTTGAAGGAGTTAGTTGTAATATCAGTAGACATATAGAGGTAACCGTGGAGTTACATGAAAAATAAGTAGTGCAATTGAATTTGAAAAATCGTTTTTTTTAGTTTCTTTTACATAATTTTGATGCCGATAACTTTTTGGTCATTTTAAGACATCGGGCTTAAAAATATCTCATAATTTGTGGATATTACAGTCATTAAAAGTGAGCGCTGCTAGTATACCTTAGAGTAGTTTCTTTATCTTATTTGTCGTTTTTCTCAAAACTATGTCTTTTGGAACGGTGTACATGAGTTCACAAAAACTATTGTAATTAACCGATAATCTTCAAAATTTTTAAACAGCTTCTCTATAATGTTCTCTACGGCACGATGTAGAAGTTTTTCGAAGATTTTTTTTTTAAGTTGTAAATTTTTAAATCAAGAATTTTGTATAAAAAAAAATTTTTTTTTTTAATTCTCCCATTTGCTCATACAACATTTTTCCCTAAAACGGCAACGTCATGCTATAGCTATATTTATATAGTTAATAAATATTTTTTGTTTATGGGTCTCTGATAAAAAATGTGCTGTGCAGCATGCACACCATAAGACAATTCGCTAAAAAAGTGCCTTATTTGACTAGCTATATCTCCGCCATTTGTAAAAATTTGTTTTTCATCCAATAAGTATTTTTTAAGTTCAACATACGTACTTGATGTACAAATAAAAAATTATGTATTCTTTACAACTTTGTCAACATTAATTTTTAAAAAACCCTTCAACTGCTGTCGCCGCTCTAAAACGGTACTTCTCAAAACGACCCCTGCAGTACCTGTCATCAGTAATTCATCAACGTTTCATCAACAGCGAAGGGGGTGCTGTTGATGATTCATCGATGACAGCCCATACAAACTGTTGATGAATTTAACATGGGCATGTCCTAGGCTGTCATCAATAGAAATTCATCAACAATAAATCGATGATTCATCATCAATTCATCGATGTTTCATCAACAATTCATCATCAATTCATCGATGTATTGTTGATGACACATCGATGAAACATCGATGAAACATCGATGAAACATCGATGGAACATCGATGATACATCGATGAAACATCGATGTGTCATCAACAATTCATCGATGTTTCATCAACAATTCATCAATGTTTCATCAACAATTCATCGATGTGTCATCAATAATAAATTAATTAAAAAACATAAATAAGGTATTTCATATTTCAATTCATTCACTTTTATTATATCCTCTTAAAACCTAACAATAAAATTAAAATTATACATAAATAATACAAATAATCAAAATCAAAATATTTCTTATAATAATACAAAATAAATTTTAAAAAATAATAATACAATAATAATAATTATAATAATTAACATTAAAAATTAAATATTAATGCATTGAAAAACGCTTGGACCACATTCTAACACGTCTTCATCCCTTTTCCTTTTTTATGTTGCGCCTCCAAATTTTTTGCGCAAGGAAGGCTTTTAGTTAAACGGTTGGCAAGTGGCTCCGTAGCATCAACTTGACTTACTGCATCTGAAAAGGAAAATTTGGAAAATAAATTGATATCAAAATCTAAAAAAAAAATACATAATTACCTAAGAGTGCAGAGTAGAACTTCTTATGGTCTCGAAGCCTTTTCTTACACTTCGCACCATCGATGTATCACAATAGCTGCATGCAGACACGAAGTGGGAGGACGGGAAGATGTACTCAAAATAGAAGACAGAATTGATACGAAAGTAAACTTTTTTTTAATCTTTACATAAAAACTCACCTGATATATAATTTCAATTATTGAAAACTAAACAGAATATTTATATACATATGTATGTAAAATTTATTTTTAATTTGGCCTGCGCAGTGCGCACACTTCACTGTTTAACTGCAAGTGAAAACAATAGAAAAAAAGGACTGTGCCTCCAACAACAAAACGAACCACGATCCGGAAAAACGGATCCTCAAGTCCGTTTTTTTTCTCTTATTGTTCGTTTCGTTTCACAAAGTCCCGTTTGGCTATCTTGTGTCCGAGTGTTTTGCTTCCTTGTAAACAGGGTATAAAGGATATATCCGACGAGGCAACAAGTTACTTAAAATGTTATTGCAGCTCAAACAATTTTGTTCTATTTGCAATTATTTTTTCATTCGCGTTTTATATTTAAAGAATATTTATTCCTAATACCATCATTATAATTGTTAATGATAATATATTATACACATAAAAATGCTAAATTTCTAGGGTGCGAAACAGTTGGTTCGATTTTAATTGTTAACTTATTTGCTTTTGGCTCATCTCACTCGTTTGAAGAGTGAGTGAGGCAGTGAGATAGGCAATCACCATGGCAGCATTAGAGCGTAGGCTCCGTACAAGTCGCAGTCGGCAGAGCGTCGACTTTATAGAAGTCGCAGCCGGCAGAGCGTCGACTCGGTAGAAGTCGCAGTCGGCGCGTTGATGACGGGTTGATGACAGTGGCTATTGATGACACGCGGTACTGCAGGGACGCTATACAGTATTAGTATTAGCATTTCTGGCGAAAACACACACACATTCACAACTACGCAGTTTCAATGCGCCGACGCGGCCATTCTGACCCTAACACCAGCTCTCTTTCATTCTTTTGTTTATTTTTAGTTTCATAACAAAAGCCAATTTTCTTATCTTAATTCATATCAAATTATCATAAAAACAATTTCACAAAGCAGTATTGGGTTCCATAACCATCATTGAAATTTTTTGTTTATATTATTCATTCTTCTTCATTATTCACTCATATAGTCACATAATCAAATGCACTTGTGCTTGCTTGTACAACTTCGTCACCCTTCTTGGTGTACTTCACTTTTTTCTTCAATACTCTCAGTATTTGCATTTTCGCTCTCTTCACCTTCTGCATAGGCCATATTACTTTCAACAATATTATTATAATCCTCGCACACATTTAGCTCCTAGGCACTTGCCCCTCTGGTTATTTTTTAAATCCTCATGTGCATATTTATAATTTCTTTTATTGGTTAAGGACTTTAAAATGTATCTGTCACCTTCTAGAACTTTTACTATTTCAAAAGGCCCCTTGAATTTCGGACTTAGCTTGGTCTTTTAAGTAACACAAAATCTCCTACTTTGTGATTTATTACTTTTGCCTTACTTCTATCAAATCGTTCTTTATCATAAGCTGTATAGGCTAATACATTCTTTGCAGCTTGCGCTCTTACGTTTGGCAAATCAATAACATTTTCTATGTCACTAGGTGGAAGTCATCGTAATGGGCGTGCTACCTTTCCCAATAAAATTTCTAAAGGACTTGCTTTCGTAGTGCGGTTGGTTGTACAATTGATTGCCAATTGCTACTCTCCTATCACATCCTGCCAAGACTGTGTTCCAGTTTCAACCGCCGTTAATATATTCTTCAACGAGCTCATGGTTCGCTCCACTTGACCATTAGCTCGACTTGCACCAGTGGCTATCAAATGCATGTTTATTTCTTGATCTGAACAAAATTTACAGAAGTTTGCGCCTGTAAAACACCTTCCTTGGTCAGCTATTATTCGGTTTGGTACTCCAAACAATGAAACAGCAGATATAACGGCTTTTATGCAACTCTCACTGTCTAATATAAGAATATGACTTAGATAGACATATTTGCTAAACGCGTATACTTGAAAAATAATATACTCCTTCTTGGTCACTCTTGCCACGTAATTTTCCTGTTATATCGATGTGGATAGTGTGCCAAGGAATAGTGAATTTTGGTATTGGATGCAACTCAGCCTTTATTTTTCCTGAAGTGGATTTTGATATTTTGCAAGTTATGCAGTTGTCGACAAATTTTTTTACGTATTTTGACATATTGTCAAACCAGTAAAACTCTTAAGTTTATTCAATGTCTCTTTGTATTTATATTATTGACTCATGGACTTGATTTATAACAGACCATCTGAAAGCTCGTGGCACCACTGGTAAACAACGTGTTTGCCCATTTTTCTGTATTTTTCGATGAAGAACTTCTGCCCTTAGTTCATAGGTTTTCGCAATATATCCAGGCTGAGAAGTTTTTAAAATGTTTAACTATTTCGATTATGTCCGAATCTCGACGTTGTTCAGCAATAACCCAGTGGCTTGAAATTTCAACTAAATTTACTCTTTTCTCTTCGATTATTTTTGCGTTTGAAGGAGACTTTGGTGAAAGAGGATTTCTCAAAAAAAGTGCTAAGGTTACCAACTAGTACGAGTGATATCTTTATTCTGCTATAATATTCTATTACCTGGGGTTTGTTATCAATTTTATGTAATAAAATTGCACCTTAGCCACTGCAACTTGCGTCCGTGTGCAATTCGATTGGATAAATAGGGTCACAAATAACAAGGACTGGTTTGTCGGTAAGAGTAGCAATGACCTTTTCCGTAACTGTTCATGCTCTTTTTTCCAAATAAATTTGTTTTGTCAACAGTTAAAAAATATAACGGTTTCATTAATTGTGAAAATCCCTTAATAAACTTTCGGAAATAGGATGCTAG